GAGAGAGAGAGAGAGAGAGAGAGAGAGCTCTAATGGCATAATTGTATGAAATAGTATGAAATGCAATGCAATCTTTTAGAGCAATTTGTTGGACGCAAAGTCTTTATTGAATTAAGCATATGATTAAAATGAATTACTTTTTATGTGACTCTCAATTATTCGTAGCCTTTTTCTGAACCCAATTCTCTTAATACTGTATTTTTCATACCGTTTTCCTTAACTATTTCTCTTACTTTTTGGACGAGATTTCTCTCATAACAAGAATTATCACACTTTTAACAGAAACTCATTGGGAAGAAACGGAGCACACATTCCGCCAGTTTGTTGTGTGCAGTTTGAGTGCCATTTGAAAGGCTATCGCATGTTATTTATTGAAACTATATTTTAAGAATAATGTCTAATACTAGTTGTGTTGGTGTGAAATGGTCTCAACACCTAAAACACATACAACAGCAGAAAAAAATCTAATGAATGTTGTCTTTAATTTTAGTTTCGTTTATATATTTCTCATTTTTTAGTGCTAAACAGTGAAAAATGCAATAAAAGTCGCAAAAATATATATTAAAAAACTCTTAAATTCTCAAAAAATATGAGAATGTTTTTGTACGACATATAACTTGAGAGACAATAAATTAAAAGTATAACAGAATTGCCTGAGAGTTAGCGCTGGGATTATCGTCAATACGTTTGTATTTCTAAATTATAAAAGTCATACAAATAGCTATTCTCTCTGTAAACAAATGAATCCATATTCCCGACGGTTTGTGTGTATGTAGTGTAGTGTGGGGTCGACTCTGAAACAGAGACCCACTGACAGGTCTCATGAAATAAAATGAGGAGAGAGAAAAAGAGAGAGAGAGAGAGAGAGAGAGAGAGAGAGAGAGAGAGAGTGAGAATGAGGTCTAAAATATGAGTTTGGGAGGAGTATTATGTGATTGCAACGAAAAGTTAAGTGTTGGGGCGGTTCTGTAATTCACTGTTAGCTTTAAATCTGTATTCATCTGTTAGACGATAAACAAGACTTTTCATCAAACTTTAATGGCTTTGAAAAGATCAGCCCTTAAGAGATATCATTACCTCTGAAAAAACGAAATACTGTTCCTCTCCTCTCCTTTAATGAGATAATAATACAATTTCTCTTCAAAACTGATTATAACGACAGTCTAATAATAATAAGTCAAATACGAAACATAACAAAAAACAATTGTTTACACAGTTTTACACAAATATAATTCACGAATTTGTGTTGAATTGTTTTTAGTATACTTTCATTTCATTGATAATAATTACTGTTTTTTGTGCTGACATATTGTACTTCATAATACAGTGTATACAGTATATTGAGCTCAAGTTCAGTCAAGTCTTTGTAATTATGTTTTTATAACTATTTTTATACAAATTCTGTTAATACTATTGTTATTTGAAAAGTGCATTGTTTTCCAAACTAAGGCACAAATTCATTGTTTTAATTGTTTTGTTTTTGCAATACAATTACGTTTAGTGTTATGCGAGAGAGCGATGCCTTAATTGATTAAAAATTAATTTTTCATCACTGCCTCACTTTTTTTGTTGTGTTAATGACAACCAAAAAAACATAATTTTGTTCCCAACCCCTCAAACAGTAGTTGTATTTCATTTAAATTCAATACCAAAATGAATGCATTTAATTCACGGACTGAATATATGGCGAAAAACAATTCGTTTAAAACCTTATTTCCTTAATAATAGCTTTTGATTAATTGGTGTCAAATCGAGAGATTGTATTCAACAATAAAAATAATCATAATTAGTAATTAATTTGAGATTAATTGTGTGTTTAAGCGATAAATTTCATTATTAATTATTGTATTGAAGAACACAATTTATATCAAGGAATCGTTGCAAATGTATTGTATGCAAAGCATAGGTCACCACACCTTCAATGCCAAGGTTAATGTGTTTTGAATCAATTTTTCAATATATAGTCTATATTGTATGCAATGTTCAATGAGCTCACAATCTTTCACATCAGATATTACAGAAAAATTGTAAATATTTTTTTATTATAAGCCGTATTTATTATGAACATAAAATTATATGAACAAATTACTACTAATGAAACTTTTCTCGAGTGTATTTTAATATAATATTTGTGTAAATAATTTGTATTCAATTATTTATAAACAAAAGTCAATGCATTTATATGGAAATATTAGATATTATGAATATATACGGCTTGTGTTCAAGTGTTGGCCATTTAATAAGACCCACCAAAAACAGTGCCCATAAATCACTTTCAATGAAATTAATTGTTTTCATATTCAACGCAAAGAGAATACATATATACATAACAAACAACACTTTATTAGCTAAATGTATGAATCGGTTTATGAATTTATTTTTATGTTGTATTTGCTGTGTTTGCCATAACTTTAATTTTGTACACAATATATAAAAATATTCATTATTTTTGGGGACAGAGAGAGAGAGAGAGAGAGAGAGAGAGAGAGAAAGTTTTTATGACAATAATATTGGAGAGCATATACTCTATAATAAAGTCAAAGCGAACCAAATTTACTGATAAAGAATGTGAGCAAAAAATATAACAATTTTTTATATACACACGAATTGAAAACGAAATATTAATAAATATAATGCAGTTTAAGTGATTTTAACCCAATGTTATGCATACAGTATGTTTAAGGCAACCAAATACTATGATTACTTTGTTCACTCTTCCTCTATATGACAACAAAAAATACAAATTTTTCATTCATTCAAACGTAAAATCTCTTCATTTATATATTTTTAAAATACATATTTTATGCAATATTTCTCATCACAAGACTACTATTTTAAGGCATTTTTAAGGGAGAGTTAGAGTAAAAAAATGATGATTCAAATAAAGATATGCAAAGCGAGATAACTATTAGATTTATGTGAATAGGATTTATTATTTTTCTGTATATTATATAATATATGCCATATATTGTGATACATTTTTTGTCTATCTTTTTGCCATTAAACTTAAAGGAAGAGAAAAACTTCCTAACATTGCTATTGAATTTTTTTGGGTAAAACTATTTTGCTTTAAAAAATCAAAACAAAAGTAAAGAGAGGGGAATCCGAGAGGAGAGTAAGGATAGCGGAGGAGAAGAGGGGAGTCGGGAATGAATCGCGTGAAGAACTAAAGATAAAAGTGTTGTATTAAAGTATGGCATTTCGGAGTAGTGGTGGTGGAGATCACAGCAATTACTGCATTTGGGATTTAACTGAAGGCCTATAACATAAAAACTATGCGATAAAATATAATGTATATATCGCCCGCACCTTCTCTACAGCGCTATTATGTGATATTAGCGGCGCTCGTGTTTCTGGTGGCGCTCTGTTGGCCACTCCTTCAGACACAAACTGATTCATCAAGATTTACAGCCGAGGCTCAGACTGAGAGAGAGAGAGAGAGAGAGAGAGAGAGAGAGAGAGAGAGAGAGAGAGAGAGAGAGAGAGNAGAGAGAGAGAGAGAGAGAGAGAGGAGTGTGAAGGAGACGGAGAGTTAGTTTAATTCTTAAATGCCGTAACATTAGGGGTATTTTGTGCGATACAGTCATTGAATTGAATGCTATCATAATATTTCTTGTGTTTTGAACGCATACTATGTTCTTATAGTGGGAATCATTGCCATCACATAAAATGCCAGTCCTTTTCGACTTAAGCCTAAGCTCTCGGTGTCTATGACTTTGTTATGGGTATATGTGTTGCTATGCAGTGAAGCCATAGTCAACTCATTTTCGCACAATAACTGTAAAAACGAGTGGAAAATAGTTTTTTCATTCATATTTTTCATCGTTAATAAAAATATATAATTTTTACCACATATTTCCGGAATATTCTTTAACTGATAATATTTTTGTTGAGTTTTCATTTTATACTCTCTATCTATTTGTAGCGCTTATTAGAGAAAATATTTTTTCCATGAAATTTATTCTTTCGTTTGATATTTTAAAATTTATATTTCATTTTTTGGCAACAAATTGAATAAAATTCATATATTGACCAAAAGGTTATCGTTTTAAATGAATTATATTTCTTTCGCCCGAATAAATATACTTTTGGATGAATTTTTATTGTATTCTTGTATTAATATATAATTTGCGGCAATTCTGTGAGCAAAATAAAATGATTGTTCGCATTAACCTCTTATCCATCGATGGCTAAAACAAATGTAATATTATTTTGTTGTATCCAAAAGTTTAATTGAAATATTATATCAATGATTAATGTAATAAATGCACTCCACTTTCATTAAGAACAGCAAACTTACGGAAATTTGCCATAAATTTATCTAAACTGCTATTTATTTCCCTAATCTAAGGACTAAGTCTTAACTCAAATGCAACAAAAAGTGCCCAAATTTCTCGGCTCTATATCATAGAGATATTGATCTGTTTTCACTGAACCCCCCGTAACACCCCTTTTGCACATTGACTAGAATCTCGTGCAGTAAAGCCATTGACTTTTCTCAGGGCTTTCTCTCTCTCTCTCTCTCTCTCTCTCTCTCTCTCTCTCTGTCCCCAAAAATAATGAATATTTTTATATATTGTGTACAAAATTAAAGTTATGGCAAACACAGCAAATACAACATAAAAATAAATTCATAAACCAATAAAATTCCTGTTTTTACGTTATGTTTATTTATACCGATATATAAATATCTATTTCTCTCTCTCCCCATAACATAACAATTCATTGGAATTGTAGTTCTCTCTCACTCTCACTCTCTTTACAATATAATTCACGAGACTTTCATTCATTTAGTCTGAAGTGAGAGAAACACTAACTTTATTTAATCTACTCTTTGTTTTCTTGTTTTCTTATTACACTTATTTTTCTGACTCTCATTCACATCCCCTCTCACTCACACTCTTTCTAACTCTCTTTCTCTTCTTCTCCCAACTGTTATTCAGAGCCACAAAATTAAGCAAAACAAGCGGTACGACAACCAACCGATCGACGGCACCGCTCTTCAGCCAAATGGTGTCTACTTTACCGCCAATGCCATCGCTGTCAACGATCGCGTCCAACGCGGCGACGACGACACCCATTAAAAATCAGACAATTATATCAAACCGATTCCCACGACAGGAGCACCCGCTCGGAAAGGTATTATTACTCGTCTAACCTTATAGTATAACAAACTCATTAAATGAGATGAAAAAATTTGTGCAAAACATTAGATAAAAGAAACGGCAAAACAAGAGGGGAGAGGAATACTGGAGATTAGAATTGGTTTTGTATTAACAGAAATAGCTATTTAGCCATTAAGTGGACCGGCATTAGCCTAAAACACCCTTAACTCTATTCTATTAGCCATTATTGGCTTCACTCAGTTATAGTCAGTTTATCCGAAAGACCTTTTCATTCACTGCACACAAAAGTAAAGCGAAAATAAAATCAATTTTTATACAAACTTTTCATTAAACACACTCTCCTTTAAGTCAATGATTGTCACGAATTTTGTCCAAAAGACTTTGATTACGATATCGGGTCCCTAAATGTGTGATTGTTTTTCATGTCTCTCTTTAAAGGTAAAAGTAATACTGCAGATCAGTCATCCGTATCAACAGCAGCAACAACAACAACATCCACTACAAGACACCGCACATTATCTCAAAGTGGATTCGTCGAGAAGGCATTTAACTCTTTACGACCCGACGTTGTTATCATCGTATGAGCAAAATCAGAGACCAACTGCGCCCAAGATGTTCGCCTTTGATGCCATCGTCAATAATAGTTTAAACAGTTCCACCAGTTCTGGCAATTGCAACACCAATTCACTGGTACTGTATAACTGAGACCCACTGCACACACACTGCACACAATATACACAACACGCATACCATTTGTTTCCCCTGTTTTTCTTGTTGCTAATGATCTTTGTTTAGCCGATGCCCTCATCACAGCATCACTACATCAATACAACAATCCATGTATTGATTGACAACAAATAAAATTCCTGTTTTTACGTTATGTTTATTTATACCGATATATAAATATCTATTTCTCTCTCAATTTGTATCCGCAATGAAATCCAATTCTTTTGATTTTCTCATTCTTTTTCTTATTCTCCTTTTCTTGTATTTATTTTTATATTTTATTTTCTCGTTTAATATTAGGAGTTATCGAAGGCAGCCCTACCGGAGCTGATCGATGCGGTCATGAATGGCAATGATTCTGTACTCTTCGCTTTGGGCAAAACAGGTTCGCCTCAATTCACTTCACCGATCATTTTATTTGATTTCTTTATACTTTCACTTATAGTTCACAAAAAGGTTTTTCGCGTTTTTTTATATACAGTATATTATTGTATATTTTGTTTTTATACTTTGGGACAAAAAACATATACTCTTAGTATATTTCGGCTAATTTTTTGACTACAATTCTGTTTATTTTGAGACTATTTTTATTTCAATTTTATAAAAATGTTTGTATTTTGTGGCAACAAATAAGAAAATACAATACCTATTGTTTATAGTAGATACTTGACAGACTGCTCTCTCTCTCTCTCTCTCTCTCTCTCTTCGTCTCATCTCTTAAACCAATTAAATATAATATTATTTTTAGGAATTTTTATGCCTTCTCTCTACTAATCGATTC